CCGCGCTGGCCAGCGCCAATGATGACGGCGCGGACAGGACGGTCCATGGCTACCTCTCCTTTGGCTCTGGTTCGGAAATGACGTTTGCAATCTTCGAGGCTAAAGACACCCAACATCGTCGACGAGAATGCAGGTCTCACGCTGATAAGACTGCAAGTCGCACGAGGTCGAGCTGGCGTCAAGCAGCCAAAGATGCTCTTCGTCAGGGTATCGGCCTCCTCGATGATCATTTATGGCTCTTGGTTGTTTACCAGGCGTAAGATCCGGTCCTTTGCGGCACTTCAGATCAAAAACAATGGAGCTCATCGCAAATCTGTATCAACGACAACCTAGCTGCGTACACATCGACACGTGACTTTGGTCGCAAGGATGTGCTTCGCAGGCTATTGTTGCCAAGGGAATATTCCTTGCTTGCTGCCGAGAATATTGTAGCAGCCCCCACCACCCGGCGGGATCTTTATCCGGATGAAAAATGAGCTGGCAGGCTGTGGGCAGTGGGCAGCGCTTTATCCGGAACCACCGACATTGCACCGACCAACCACCACACAAGCACGACAGTATGCTGGCGCTACCTTGTCTACCTTGGCGGCGGCATCACTGTAGGGAAAGACTAGAACTACGTAGTACGAAATGGGCGGACATATATGATGCTTTCTTGCGAAGAGGTCTGCACTCTTAAGGCCTTTAGGGCAACGTGGCGTCATCGAGTTGCGACCTGTACTTGAGAATGATATCGGCAACGATGACCTAGAATGAGGACTGGGGTGACTCATCACAGAGGTCCAGCACCCAGAAGATGCGAAGACAACGAATTTTGTCGCCAAGCGCGTCCTCGGTGGATGCGAGCCCCGAGTCCGAATGGGCCTCCACTTGCTCCGCGACCGCCGCCCAATCTCACAGAGGACGCCGCTGACAACGCACAGTTTGAGTCGCAAAAGAGCTTGCCACTCATGATCGAGCGACTGCTGGAGATCGTCGAGGCTTGACGATATTTCCTCATACGTTGAAAGGCGACGCAAAACTGGTCGGCTTCGACCTGGGCAGAGTAGGCAGCCCGCGCGTCCTCTTGCAGCATCATCGCATCCACCTGCGGCTCAAACGCCGCCGAGTCGAAGGGCAGCATGGCATCTTCGTCGTCGTTATCGCCGTCGAGCGCCAGCGTCACAACGACGTTCGAGATGCCGCTCGCCGTTGCAGCAAGTCTTGCCGTCGCGACGAGCGGGCGAGCGTGGCTCGGACGGCGCGCAACAGCTAGAAAGGGCATGTGGCCGTCGCCCAGCGGAAGGCACTGCGTCGTGAGCCATCGGACGTGAATGCTCGTCGAGAGCTCCTCCACACGTGGCGTGGCACAGGGAGCACATGGTTTGCAACGTAAACGGCCGCGGCCCAGATCTGACACAGCGTCTGCGCCATCATCATCATCGTCGTCCTCGTCTTTGCTATCGAGAAGCGTTGAAGCCATACGACAGCAGCCTTGTCCTCTGCCCACCTACTGGTCGGCACCACAATTTGTGGCGACTTTTCGCCAATTGGGAATGCCAAAACGAGGACTTCCACCCTATTTTTACCTAATTAGGCTGTATTTCGGACAAATGCCCTACATTTGAAGTGCACTGGTGCTCCGCCAGTTTCAGTCGGTGGGAGCTCCGGTCGACGCATCTCCCATTGTGTCGTGCCCCATACCACAAGAGACATAATTGATTGTACTAACGGTATGCTCGTGAAGAGAGAGCGTGCAATCCCGGCTTGGCCGTACGACGATGCTGCTGATCACCGCCTTCAGCAACGACATGCACAGCAGCTACAGTCGCAGCGTGTTGCTGCATGGCCTTCTACGTCGCGGTCTTGACGCTGAATGCTGAGCCGATTCCATCATTTGACATGCGAACGGCTGCGTTGGGTTTTTATTGGCTCGCCAAAATGACCTGCGTCAACACCAATGACGTGGCCGAACGAGCGGCGAGCTTTCGTGCAACAGTTGGCGCACGGTGTATAAGTGCTATTTAGTTTAGTTAATCCACTACCTACATACACGCTAGTCGTCGTCCTCGTCGTTCTTGCGGTTCTTGATCGCAGACAAAAAGTCGCCGCGACCCGGCATGCCGCCACGACCACGACCGCCGCCGCGTCCTCGGATGGCTGAGAGAAAGTCGCCGCGGCCGCCACCGCCCGCCGGCGCATCGTCGTCGTCGTCACCCTTCTTGGCGCGCGCCTGAATCGCTGCCATCAACGGGTTGCCGCCGCCGCGACCACCGCCAAACGGGTTTGGCCGTGCAGGAGGCGCGTCGTCGTCGTCATCGCCCTTCTTGCCGCGACCAGCAATCGCCGCCATCAAAGGGTTCCCGCCACGGCCCCGGCCACGACCACGGCCACCGCCACGACCGCCAGAGAGCGCCGCCATCATCGGGTTGGGTGGCCGCTCGGGCTCGGCCGCGGGTGCAGCCGCCGTGCTCCCGCCACCCTCGGACGCCAATTGTTCCTTGATCTCCTTTTCAATGTCGGCGCGAGGCTTCAAGCGGCGCGTGGCGACCTTCATGGACGGCAACTTGGCCATCGCCGTGGTGCTGCGCTCCTTGAGCTCGGCCACGAGCTCGCGCGTCGCCGGCACAGTACTCTGGAGGCGCTTTTCTTGGATCTTGAGCTTCTCCAAGCGGTGCTCAATGCCGGCAAAGCAGTCGACGACCGCGTCGCAAAACACCACGGCGAGGCCGCACTCGATCGCAGACCGCGTATCGGCCGTGTCGTTGGCCGGGTCGCGCTTCCCCGTGAGGTTCATGCCCGAGCGTTCGGCAAAGTAGACGGACGACAGGCGCACTTGGTTGACGAGCGTCATAAAGTCGGCGAGTTCGACCTTGATCGTGGTAGGCGACGTCGTGTTGCTCTTGTCATGCGACAGCCGCGTCTTGATCCAGTGCGCTTGCTGCGTCTCCATGTGATCAATCTCCGCATCGAGCTTCTCGCACGCGCCATTCGCATCAGCGACAAGCCGGATCTTGTTCTTGTAGTGCTGCTTGAGCCCCTCAGCGCGCGCGTTCGCAGTCTTCTCTTGCACCAAGCGCTTCGCCTCGGCCAGCGCCTGCGCACCGGCATCGTCCGCACTCGACTTTTGCACCGTCGACTCAATGTACACGTCTTCGACCGGATACCCAAGGTCGTGAATGTAGGCGGGCGCCGCGTCGGCCTTGAGCGGGCACTGCTTCCCGAGGAGCGGGCAGCCAATGTCCGGGTTGTCGCGGGTCGCGTACGGGTGGTTGCCGGGCGGGCCGTACTGCGCGACGTGGCGGTTGTACGAGTTGACAACTGTCTTGAACGTCTCTTTGAGCGTCTTGAAGAACGCATACCGGCGCGCAGCCATCTCCTCGCCCTTCTGGCCTTCCCAGCCGGCGGCGACGTCCCGCAAATGCATGTGCACGGCGCGGCGCTCGGTCACCGTGAGACCCGTCACGCGGAGGTTCTCGAGGACACTCGGGTGCGCTTTCGCCAGGTCTTGCGGGCTCGTGCGCAGGATCTGGAGGACGTTCGTGCGTTTGAACTTGAGCGCGACTTCGCGCGTGAGGCGCTTGCCGTTGGGCGACGGCTCCTCTTGGAGCTGCGCCTCCGAGCGCGATGCGACATCGACCGGCATCATGCGGCGGATCGCTTTGACCGCGAGCGCGTTCGCCTCGGCATTTTCTTCCTCCCACTCGCGCTCCTTGCGCGCTTGCTCGGCCGCATACTCGTCCGTGAGCATGAGCGCCGTGTTGTACTTCTCCATGTCCTGCTCGAGCTTGTAGTACTCTTCGCGGAGTTGCTTTTGGACTTTGGGGTCGGGATGGGTCACGTCGGCCGACCCGATTTCGCCCATGCGGCGCGAGATGGTCTCGACCTTGACCTTGGCTTCTTCGTACGGAATGTCGTCGGCGATCGCGATACCGGCCTGCTGCAGCTGCTTCTCGAGCTTGAGAAGGCGGCGCAAGAGCAGTGCTTGGTCGCTCGAGATGTTGCTCATGTCAAACGACTTGGGTTCGTCCTTTGCGGGGCCACCGCGGCCGCTCTTGAGCTTCTCGACCTCGGCTTGGAGCTCCTTGATCTTGAGGTCGAGCGCCTTCATTTCCGAAAAGAACGCGTCGATCGACCGGTCTTCGACGCCGTCCTTCTTCATGACGTCACGGACAACCTCCTCCTTCTTGCCATCGAGGAGCATCTTGCGGTACTGCATAAAGGCCTCCGAGTACTGCATGCCCGGGAGGTCGTTCGACTGCTCTTGGATGCGTCGGTTGGCTTCAATGAGCGCTTGCGCTTCCTCTTGCGCGCGCTTGGCTTCCGCCGCTTGCTTTTCTGCAAACTGCTTGGCCATCTCGGCTTCGGCCATCGCGGCTTCGACCGCAGCCTTGCCTTCTTCGCGCTCGGCGCGGGCCGCTTCCATCGCGCGTTCGGCCTTGAGCTGCGCTTCGTTGAGGTACGCCTTTGCTTCCTCCTCGGCGCGGCGCGCGCGCTTCTCGGCCTCGTCGGCCGCGTGCTGCGCGTCCGACTTGATCTTGAGCATCTCTTCGCGGTCGTTCAGAAGCGTGTTGCGACGGCTGCCGCGGACGCGCTCTTGGTACTCCTTGGCCTTGTTGACGTACTCGAACGCGAGCGTGAGGACCGCCCCGGACGTGCGGCTGCCAAGCACGAGCGGGTACTCTTTGAACGTCTTCTCCATGTTGGGCAGCGTCTTGAGCGGCACTTGCAGCGTCGAGAGGAGCTCCGACGACTTGAAGAAGCCGTGCTCGTCGTACACGCGGATCTCGAGCACGCTCTCGTCGCTTGTGGCTTCAAAGGTGACCGTGTTGTCCTGTCGCCACTCGGGCGACCGCTGGCCCTTGATAACCATGGTCGTAAACGTCTCGGCGTTGAGCGTGATCTCACACATGGCGTTGACCTAACCACACATCAAGCGTCACGATGCCATCTCCAAAGCATTCTAGCGTACGGTCGAGCCGGGCTTGGCGAGGTTCGTGGCCGAGACGACCGAGACGTGCAGAACAGGCGTCGGGAACGAGTCGTAGTCAAACTGCGAGAGGCGGCCGGTGCCATCGCCGCTCGTAAACGCCGTGCGCGACGCAAAGATGGTGCGGGACGCGTCGATCGCGAGCTTGAGCGCGTCCATCCACGCCTTCTTCTCCGACTCGGACGCACACGCCATGACGAGGCGCTTCTCGTCGGCGCGGACTTCGAGCAGAAACGACGCCGGAATCGCCGGTGCTTTGGACACCATGTCGCTCGACGATGGCAGACTCCGCACCGTGCAGCGGTGGTGAAGAAACTCGAGCTCGCCGCGCGACGACGTCGAGGACGGGCTCTTGAAGTACTCGAGCTTCGAGACGCTGAGCACGAAATACCGGGCCTTCCACTGCTTGAGGACGCGCGACTGCTTGTACATGCGGCCCTTCTTGATCGTCGCCGTCTTGTTTTCGCGAATGAGTTCTTGGATCGACTTGTTCTCGTCGTCTTCGGCCTTGACGATGCGCGAGCTCTGTGCAAACTTGGACATGGGCATTTCCGACGGCCGCGGCTTGAGCGCAGCCTCCGAGTTGCGCGAGTTGACGCGCTGGACGTCCGGGAGCTTGTCCTTGGGGACAAATTGCAGCGTCCGGGGCGGCGGCGTCTTGCGGATGACGTTCATGACTTCGTTGTAGTGCATGCAGAGCACGTCGGTCTCGTTGACCTTGCACACAATGTCGCCGATCGAGATGAGACCGTTCGACTTGGCTTGGCCCTTGACGGCCTTGACGACCGCGCCGTCAATGCCGTACCGCGTGGCTTCTTCGAGGTTGAGGCCCATCGGGCCTTCTTCAAACACGACTGCGTACGTCGGGAGCTCGGTCTCGCCGAGCGTCGAGTCGAGTTCGTCGCGCTGCTTCTTCTTGTGCGCGTTCTCGCGGCGCGAGAGCACGATTTCAAACGTGATCGCGAGCGGCCGTGGCATCTTGCGGATGAGCTCGATGGCTTCCGAGAAGCCGAGGCCGTCGACGTCGGTGCCACCGATCGCGACAATGAGGTCGCCGGGCGCGACCTTGGCGTCGAGCAGCGGGTTGTCAATGTTGTCGATGCTCAGGCCGTGCTCGATGACGCCGGTCTTGGGCGGCATGAGCTTCACGCCGAGCTTCTGCTTGGCCGGCAGCTCAATGATGATTGTCGTCGCTGCGTCGCTCTCGGCGTGCGACGCCGACGTCGAGACTGACGAGAGCGTCCGCATCGAGGATGTGTTGGTGTGCAGCGTCCCGCAGGCGACGCACGTGTCGGCGCCGTCTTCGTTGGAGGTGTAGTCGCACTTGCTGCAGGGCCACGTCATGCTGCTGCTCCTACTCGTTCACTCGCAGCGGGCGGAAGCGGGCGGACCGGTCAACGCCACAAAACGACCCAAAGCCAAAATTCCCCACGCTGCGTTTCTAAAGGCGACGTGTCCGGATACGCCGTCCGGATACCCCAAAAAGAGGCGGGGCAGCGTTGGTCGCGCTGCCAAGGCGTGACACATTGCTAGAGGGCGTCGCGCCCGCTGCAGTCTGTCGGCGCCGGCTGCTACGTGGGACCTTCCGCTGGAGCGCTTGCGCTTTGGCGTCGCGCTCGGTCGCGCAAGTCGCTGCCGCCACGCGGGCCACGAGGACCATATCTTTGGTGCGCAGCCATTGGTTACTGCGGTTGTCCGCGCGCCAATCACAGATGGCCTGTCGCGGGCGCCAGTGGCAACTCTGCGCGATGGCTACTTCGTGGCCTGTCGAGCGACCATTTGAACTAGGATCGATGCCGATGCGGCAGGTAGGGGGCCGATGCTCGAGGCGGCGCAAGCAGCGAGGCCAATGAGGCGAGATAGCGGATGCGAGATAGGATGCTGATGGATGCGTGGCGTCGCCCCCGGAGCAGCGACGAGGCGTGCAACGCGCGTTACCACGCACCGAGCTGACTCGACGACCCGCGTTACTGCGCGCAAGACAAGTCGTTTGATGCCGCGACAAGCAACGTGCGATTCAACCCCACAGCAACCCGCCTTGTGACCGGTCTTGCTCTCTGACACGAGATCGGTCGCAGGTCGAGCTTCGTGTTGAAACAGCATACTTGTACATACCTACGTCAAGAAGATACATTTTACATAGCAAATAGACGGCAAATATATGTCTTTTCGCCTGTGACCTGATCGGCAATCGCCCAAGGCTACTCGCGACACCAGTCCTCATCCTGAGGCATCGCGCTGCCAGGCCCTCGCCGGCCACGTGGGCGCCGAGCAGCCGGTACCATGGTGCACATCTTCGCTTGCATACATGACCCTCGGATGCGATGGTACAGACGCCGTCATTCGCAGCGAGAAGGAGCGTCGTGCAGCTTCGTTGAGGCCAGCGCCCGTGGATACCGCGGGAAGAAGAAGATTTGGGACAAGATTCCGACTTGCTCTTTTTCTCTGCAGGTCCTCCATGGCCGCTGGACATGGGCAGTGGACGCACAGCCGCCAAGGTCTCAGGCTCGCAGTCGCTGCTTGGCGTCGCGCCGACAGCCGCGGGTGCACTGTCCCGTCGAATTTCTTTTCTATGGCGAAACGACGTGGCCACTGTCTTTTTTTTAAATATGTTTAAAGTTGCATACACATAGCAAGTGTATGGGTGTGAAATATAAAAAAACGTCTCGGTGGCAAGCATTAAATTGGTCTTCCTGTGGGTGATTGCCAACAAGTAGAAAGCGACGACGAGATGGCTGAAGCTCCTCCGCGTCTGATCCAGCTCGACCTGCCGACAGGCTCCAAGCTGGGCGTCGCCATCACGCCGCCCAAGCATGGCGTTACGATCCGCGGCCTCAAGATCGACAAGGTCCAGAACGAGCTCTTTATCGGGCAGATCTCGCACGGCGACCTCCTCATCGAGATTGGTGGCACGCCCCTCGATGGCATGAAGTTTGCCGACGCCGTCAACCTCATCAAGACGATGCCACGCCCACTTGCGCTCACGTTCGAGATCGTGCCCATGTCGCTCAAGAAGATGGCCACGTCGGCCGAGGTCGACAGCCTCGACGTCAACGTCACGTCCTACAACGTCGTGTTTGACGACGCCAAGATGGGCCTCAACCTCGACGACGGCGCGCGCTTTGGCATTGACGGCGCGATCGTCAAGGGCGTCCGCGACTATGCCGAAGAGTCGGGTATCTCGCCCGGCGACATCCTCTACAAGGTCAATGGCACCGAAGTGCTCTTCATGTCGCTCAAGCAGGTCCAGAACCTCATCAAGGCCACATTGCCACCGCGGTCGCTCGACTTTATCCCAAAGACAAACCTCGAGGAGGTCCAGCGCATGAACCTCAACATGTCGGTCGTCGAGAAGAACGTGCGCGTCGCGCGCGCCAAGCCGACGGCCGCTCCGACTGAGAAGGCGGCGCCGGCGCCGGAAAAGTCGATCACCGAGATCATCCAAGAGAACCGATCGACCGTCATCAAGGAAGGTCCGATGTACAAGCAAGGCCGCATGGTCAAGAACTGGAAGAAGCGCCACGTCGTGCTCGCTGTCACGAAGCTCGAGTACTTCAAGGACGCCAAGGACAAGACGTCGCAGGGCGTCGTCAACTTTGAAAACTGCCGCTGCACCGTGCGGTCGCTGCCGTCGACGTCGGCCAAGCTCACGGGCGCGCCGGGCGACTACCTCCTCGAGCTCAAGGCCGGCGACCGCGAGTTCATCATGTCGTGCACGTCCGAAGACGAAAAGATGGAGTGGCTCGAAGCGCTCAAGGTCGCGATCGATGCGTCGAAAGCACTGTGTCGAACGTCATCCGAGGTCGACGCGCTTCGGTCGACGCAGCTCGGGCGCAGTAGCACGCGCCGCATGCCATCGATCAGCGAAGACAGCAGCATGTCGCTGCTCTCGCGCACGAACCGCCGGCTGTCGGTGCAAGGGCTCAACCTGAGCATGCAGGCGATCCCCGAGCTCCCGAGTGCGCCGTCGATCCGCATCCCCAAAGATCCGTCCATGCGCATCTCAAGCCTCGTTGCCGGCGGCCCGACCGTCGACATTGAAGTCATCTCGATCCAGAACCTCACGAAAGCCTTCTTTCACGTGGTAGCGACTTCTCGCATATCGTGCAGCAGTAGTTCATCGTCTCGCTCTCTATCTCTAGATGAACCCGTACTGCGAAGTGACGCTCGGCTCCGAGACGTTCAAGACGCCGGTCGTCAAGGACTCGCTCAACCCGCGCTGGGCCCAGGACAACAAGGTGACATTTGGCGTCCCCGGCGACGACGCGCTCATCGAGATTCGCGTGTTTGACGAGCGCATGATCCGCGCGGCCGAGCTCCTCTCGACGTTTACGATCCCGATCGCGTCGCTGCCCAACAAGACCAAGATGGAGCAGACGTACTCGCTCATCCTGGCCGACCGCAGTGCGCACGCGTCCATCACGATCAGCCTCCGCTACAACAACGACGAGTTCGAGCAAGAAGAGACGACGACGCCGGCCACGTACGGCATGCGGGACTCGTCGCTTATGCGTGCAAAGAACCAGATGGACTTGGAGCAAGCGCAGTTTGATGCGCTGACCAACCAAGCCGACCAAGAGGCGGCGGTGGCCGACCGCGTCGCCAAGCAAGCGCAAGAAGCCGCCAACGCGCTGGTGGAGGAAGCGCGGAAGAAGGCCGAGGCTGCGATCGCCGCCGCCAAGAGGGATGCGATGGGCGAGCGCGCGGCGGCCGAGGCTGCGATCGCCGAAGCCCGGCATGCGCAGGAGCGCGCGGATACGCAGATGGCCGAAGCGAAGAAGGCCCAAGAGGAGGCGCAAAAGCTCATTCAACGGAGCAAGCTCATCAAGCAAAAGTCGTTTGCGGGCGGTACACCTCGATGCAATATGCAGATCTTGAGATGGTGTAGGTACCCACCTTTTCACCAACTTTTTGCGCTACCGTGCAATGCTGTACGAGAAGGCGCCGGAAGCCGACGTCAAAGAGAGTATGCTCAAGGACGGCATTGACGAGGAGGCGGCCAACCAGTTTCTCGAGTCGATGCGCAGCAACCACGAGCGCATGGCCGAGCTCGAGCGCGAGGTTGAGCAGCTCAAGCGCGACAACAGCATCAAGCGCAAGCAGATCCAAGTGGCCGCGCCGCCGCCCGCGCCCCGCGAGAGTGCCGCCGACATGCTCAAGAACAAGGGCGAGATGTCGAGCGACCAAGAGGCGTTGCTTCGGCGTCTCCTCAAGCTCGAGAAGCAGCTGCAGCAGGCCGGTATCGCGGTCGCCGACGACATTCCGTATGAAGAAGCCAAGAAGAAGGTCGAGGAAATCTCGCGCCGCATGGGCGAGATCGGGTCGGCCGACGTGACGCATCCCGATCCCAAAGTCCAGAAGGACCTTCGTGAAGAATACTTCAAGCTCGAGCAAGACATGGAGAAGTACAACGGCGCGCTCATGCTCACGGACGAGTATGCGGCCGAGCAAGCGCGGAAGGAGCGCGAGTGGGAGGACGAGAATGCCGAGGCAAACGCGCTCGCAGTCAAAGCGATCCGCCGCATGATGCCGGTCAACATCAAGTCGCTCTCGGAAGCGCAGCTCCAGAACGAACTCACGCCCAACGGCAAGAAGTTTACGCGCGAAGTCGCGCTCAAGTACAAGCGCACGGACGTGCTCCAAGTGCTCCGGACAGACCCGTTGGATTTGGCGAAAGCGCACCCGAGTACGCTCGACTGTCTCCGCGTCACGGGGCTCACGGTCACCGAGCGCCGGGCGCTGCACATGCATTTGCGCGACATTGCCGAGGGCTGGAGGTCGCAGCAGAAGGAAGAGATGGCCGGGCGCAAGTTTGCGTTCTTCAAGAGTCTCAAGGACACGTTCAAGACGGCTGCGAATGCGTACAACCGCCACGTTGCGCAGTACGGTCCGCCTGGCAACCACCCGTACGCGACGCGTGACGAGCCTGGTGTCGGCTGCCCAATGCTCGGGAAGCAGTGCCCGCTCAAAGCCGACGCGGCCCCCGCGTACAACCAAGACTGGGGCTACCCGGACGGTCCCGAGTTTGTCAAGACCAAGGTGCTCAAGAGTGCGGCGGATGATGCAGGTGCGCAGGCCATGGCCGAAGCCGCGGCGCTCCTCAAGGCCAAGGCCGCCGACGCCCGCGCGCAGCAGCGCTCGGAGGGCCTCAAGGCCCACTACTCGAGCTTCAAAGGCTCGCTCGTGCTTGTGAAGGCGGCCAACGGCGCGATTGAAAAGATGGAGGAGCTGGTCGACAAGATCGAGGCGCGCCAGAGCGAGTGGTTCAAGCGAATTCTCGAGAAGAAGGCGACCAACAAGATCGAAGTCGCCGACTTTGACGAGCTCATCAACGAGATCCGGCTGACGACCAACCCGATGGCCGAGCGGTCGGGCATGAACCTCGCGGGCCGGCGCAACCCGGAGAAGGACACGCCCGACACGCGGTCTGGCCTCGAGATCCAGTACTGCATTTTGCTCATTGACGCTGTCCTCGACCTCTTCAGCGGGATCGAAGACCGCATGGCCAAGAACAAGTTTGACGAAGAGAAGCGACTCGTTGGTGCGATGAAGGCCGTCACGGATCTCCTCAAGGAACTGCGCGACCGCTGCAGCACGACCTTGGGGGCACTGAGCGACAAGGCGGTGATTGCGCGCAAGGTGAAGGGCCGCGCTGAGCTACTTGCCGAAGTCAAGGACGAGATGCGAAAGGAAGCGGAGAAGGCGGCGCCGCCACCGCCTGCGGACGAAGAAGCGCCAGTGCGTCCGCCCAACCCGTTTGGTGGTGGTGGTGGCCGTGGCAACCCGCTCATGGCGGCGATCGCCAATAGAGGCAAGAAGGGCGATGACGACGACGGTGACGCGCCGCCCGCACGCCCCAACCCGTTTGGTGGTGGTCGCGGCGGCGGCAACCCGCTGCTTGCCGCGATCCAGAACCGAGGCAAGAAGGGCGGCGACGACGATGACGCACCGCCGGCACGGCCGGCCAACCCGCTCATGGCGGCCATTGCGGCCCGTGGTAAGAAGGGCGATGATGACGCGCCGCCCGCTCGACCAGCCAACCCGCTCATGGCGGCGATTCAGGCCCGTGGCAAGAAGGGCGATGATGACGCGCCGCCCGCTCGACCGGCGAATCCGTTGATGGCGGCGATCGCGGCGCGAGGAAAGGTGGGTGGTGACGACGACGACGCGCCGCCGGCGCGGCCTGCCAACCCGCTCATGGCGGCGATTGCAGCTCGAAAGAAGATTGAGTAATTTGTGCCGCCGTAATATTAGCTACTCGTTGGCATCAGGCAACGTGTTAACATCCAGGTGCAGTTGCTGGCGGAACAACGGAAAGTATCAACTTATCAATTCGGTTTTTTGATCGGATAGGACAGCTTCTGCGCTTGCGGCGATCGCAGCGCGAGGAAATTTTGGGCGTGATGACGACGACGCGCCACCAGCGCGGCCCGCCAATTTACTGATGGCGGCGATTGCGATTCGGAACAAGAATGAGTCAGTTGTGACACCGTACTATTACCTACTAGTAGAATGTAGTAGACACGTTCACGCATGGCGGCCTCGTTGGACGCAGTGAAGAAGATCGAGCGACTCGGTGTATCCGAAAGTCATTCGCCCGAGATCTTGCAGTGCAGATTGGCCATACGCCGTGGTCCAATGGCGTCCACAACGTAATTTCTGCCAAGAGTATCAAGGTATCAAGTGAGCGTTCGTCACTGTCGCGATTGCAGTGCGCCTGGCACGATCGCTTACAGTGCACGCCACCTGTACCCTACCAGCTAAATGGGGTCCAAAACTTTTGTATCCCAGCTGTGAAAACATAATTTTCTAGGAAAAGGACGTTATAGATCGACTGTTCAGTCCAAGGGGAAGCGATGTATAAGATCGGATTGCAATAAATCGAAAAACTGAGCAAGTTATCGGCGTTCAAAGTTGGGGCTCTACAACACTACGAGGTATGGTGCGGGAGCCAAATTGCTACGAAACAGGACCATCGCTCCATTGTTTTTCATCACTTTTACTATTTTATTTATTTTATTACACCATTTTATCTATTTTATTAAAATTACTATCCGGCTTATGCTAGTTTTAGTATGTGACGAATCCGGATAAGGCCCAAGCCGAAATTGTTACAAAAAGGCGATTTGGTAGGCTACAGATGGCGTGCACTGTAGCACGATGAGCACCTTGGACTGCAGCGCGTCACGTGTCGGCGGTCGTCTACCTGGAGCTGGGAAGGTGCTTCGCGTATGTTGGGGTGTCGTCAGGGCATCTCCAGCGGTTGGGTTTATGTTATGTTATTACGGATGTGTCCGGATACCGAATAAAATAGATCCACCATAAAACTTTGCGTCTCCAACGGTTGGGTTTATGCTATAATCATAAACCCTCGGATTTGGTGTAGTTTTATGGGCGGTTCTTTTCGCTGATTGGCTGTTTTTATCTGAACGCATCGTCTATGATTGGCCAAAAATATGAGTGCCGAACATTGCCGAACATTGTATGAGATGTTTGTGTCATAAGTCTGCGACGCTTAAAAATAGCCCTGACCGCTGGCAGGATCCAGTTCCATGTTATGTTTTAAGTGGTCCCAAAGTCCGGATCCGAACATAAACGGACAAATATAGCATAACATAAACCTAACCGCTGGAGATGCCCTCAGAGGCGCGATCGACGCGCGAGTTGGCTGCAGACTGTACTATTTATATGGCACGTTTTGTACGCCGATTCCTTTTCTGCAGCAGTGATTGCAGTGGCAAGGCGTCTTGATCTTCGTCGGGCAATTGTCCATACCGGTACATGGCAGCTCCAGCAAGGTCACCGTCGTATCCGGTGATCCGGATAACGTGGCAGCTGTGCCGGTCGGTTGTGAAAAGGGCAATCTCAAGGCTACTTGACAACGAGCAGCGAGCGATGCGAGCCGATGAGCTGCCGACGTACGCCGTGCGCTTTAACAGGCCCAAGGCTGGCATTCTGCCCAGTGACGGCGCTGCGTCCGGCCTCGATGGCGCTCTTGTCGGAAGCGTCCGT